GCGTGGGCCCCAGCTGGGGCAGCCCCTCTGCAGCGCCCACCTGGAGACCCGCCCCGTGATCAGCCCGCAGGGGCTCGGGCCTGGAGCTGCCCCTGCACTAGTGTTCACTAGTGTTCACTAGTGGCCTCTCTCAGCTTGGTCCACGGCTGAGCCCCCGGTGCCTCAGAGATGGGGCACTCCAAAGCGGCAGTGCTGCACAGTTGATCCCTGCTCCGCTGTGCAGCCGCGGGGACTCTTGTACCTCCTCTGAGATGTACACGAGCCCCACACCTCCTCTGAGATGTAGGTGTGCCCCACACCTCCTCTGAGATGTGCACGAGCCCCACACCTCCTCTGAGATGTGCACGAGCCCTAGCGGGTACATTTCAAAGGAGGAATGCGGACGTACCTATTGACTAGTCCATCGACTACTCGACTAGCAAATTCACCGATATTTAACATCCTTACCCTGCACCCCGCAGCCTCAGTCCCGCTCGCACTGCAAAGGTGTGCCCCACACCTCCTCTGAGATGTGCACGAGCCCCACACCTCCTCTGAGATGTGCACGAGCCCTAGCGGGTACATTTCAAAGGAGGAATGCGGACGTACCTATTGACTAGTCCATCGACTACTCGACTAGCAAATTCACCGATATTTAACATCCTTACCCTGCACCCCGCAGCCTCAGTCCCGCTCGCACTGCAAAGCCCTCACCCCAGCGTCTGCACCCCCCAGCCAGAGCCCTCCTTCCTGCCAACCCTGAGTAACCCCACATTCCAAACTCCTCGACCCCAATGCCACCACAGGGCCGCGTGCAGAATGAATTTTGTTCTGTGCACCAATGTGACGGGGCAGAGGTGTCACATCAGTTCCGTATGGGCCCACATAAAATTCATTCTGCTCAGGGACATAAACATTAGCAGGAACACTGCTTGCCACTCCTCCTGGCTCCGTGTCCTCTGCAGGCTTGAGGAGCACACCTCTGCCCCATTAGCCAAGTCATCAATGAACATATGGAGGCGTCTGACCCCAGTGCAGCCCCACTAGGTCTGGCCTCCTGCCTCCACTGATAACAAGAGCGGGGCCTTCCCCGATGGGCAGAGAGCCCCTTAGCCCAGCTCTGTGGAGCCCCAGTGCACAAGTTGGGAAGCTCTGGTCAGAGCAGATCCGCCCACAGCAACGGGCTCCAGTGTCGCTCCTGCCCTCACAGGATCGCACTGATGCCTACAACACGCCCCGAAATGCGGCCACTGCATCCGCTGCCCGAGGGACCAGGAACAGCCCTCCAGGGAGCCCTCCCCGGCCACCCAGCAGACCCCTCGGGGCCCTGCCCTGGGGCCTGGACTGTGCTCAGGCCATTCCGTTCTGGCATTCTCCGCGGGGCAAGCCGTGGTCAGAGGACA